AATGCTCAAAAGTGGTCTAAAGAGGTAGAAATGAGCCAACAGCCAATAATGCATCAAGGAAGAAAGATATTTTCAAACATGTCCATCATTTGATTAATTCTGAAAATTGTAAATAGTAGCATTTGCTTCACTAGTTAAGTGCACTTTTGCACCAATTGTGACGTCATTATTCCACGGTTTCAGTCCTACCTGGTGAGAATTTAGTTTAATCTCTCACCTTTTGCTCTTAGCTAACAACCAACCAGTCAGTTTTACCTTAGGCTGATCAGGGCCAAAGGGCCACAGAATAATCTGTGGGGATGAAATGCACTTATAAGCAAAAGTTTTCTTCAACCAAGTTCAAGGTTTTCCTATAATTTAATACAGTAGCAGGCAATATGGACATTACCCCCACAAAATGCAATTTTCCACATCAATAGTGGTCTCTAATACTATAGCTGAAGAAAAGGATTTATGGATTAATGTCAAGGAATAAGACCTTATAAAAAGATCCTACTTTTATTACACACCTAGCCACTACCCAAATCATTAACTAGTGGGGAGAGTGATAATGCATTTGATTGTAGAGAGAATACTTAACTAAATCCATTAGGTAACTGATGATAAAATTATTACCACTGTCTTGTTATATAAACTAAAACATAAAATGATGGATGGATCCCTCCTCTGACAGACAGTTAAAAACAATCTACTCATAGAATCTGAAAAGATGACAATGAGTTCATGTTAAAGAGAAAATAGCCTAATTTGAAAGATTTTTTTTAAACTTATTTTATTGGCACTAGCCAGGCAGCTCAGTTGGCTAGAGTGTTGTCCCAACAGGCCAAGGTTACAGGTTTAATCCCCACTCCAGGCACATACATGACTCAACCAATAAATGCATAAGTAAGGGGAACAACAAATCGATGTCTCTCTAATGAATAAATAAAATATTTAAAAAACATTATTATTTTCATTTGTTAGGTTTATAAAGCACTCATGTGCAACAACAATAAAGATGGCCTCTGAGTCAAAATCTTACTCAGATATATGTTAAGGGGAATTTTCTCAAGCCAATTTGAATGCTTCTCTTATTTTCTTCGGGTTATTCTGTATCACTTATAAGATATCTGAGTCAAAATTCTCAAAAAGCTTTAAAAAATAGGCAGTACATCATTTTTCTACTTTACCTTCAAAAATCTTTCTAACCAAAGAAAAAATAAATTCAGTCCAAGATATTGTGACAGTGTCTGGTTTCTCATTCTAGACTCTTCTACTTTAAAATCTTATGCAAGGAACATTCTTGTATCCCACAACAGAAAGGACAGAAAGAAATTGTTGTCACCTAGCTAATATCATAATGCAGGAAAGTAACAGTGATATAATTCAATGTTCAAATTACAATAAATTTTTCTTAACTGTATAGTTTTTACTAATATGGTGTTCTATCTGATGGTGTCTTCCTTCTTTGCTTCTTTTCTCCTTTAGCATAACTGCTTAAAAAAAAAAAAGACTGATTTGTCTAACTTACAGATAGTTGGTCTGCCTAATTTGAGTAAGCTCTAAAAAAATGCTGTTTTAGAAAGGTCCAATTAGTTCTAAACAAAGGCTTTCAGTTCTGTAAGCATGTCCTAGAGATACTTCCTACAGGGATAATCCAATATTCCCTGTAGTGCTGTAGTGTATAAAGGGGAAAAGGAAACTGCAAGTGAATGCTCACATTACCAGCTGGACTCCCCAGAGTTTATAACTTCTGACAGCACTCGCAAGAAATTTCCACTGAGCTGCTATTCCAGCACTTTCTAAGATTTGCTCAATTAATGCCATCTGTCAGGAGAGGGCTGTTTAAAAACATACATTCACTCTATCATGAAATCTGGAAAATATTTTCTCCATAGTGATTTTTGGTCTTGCCCATCTATGTCAACTTCCACAGTTGTACTTTTCACGTTTAGCTGGCTGGCAGCCTCTCAGCTGGCATCTACCTCTAAGCCCTCCCACTCTATTCATATTGTCACTAAAATAATGTTCCTCAATTAATTTCATCATGTAACTTGCCTGTCCAAAAATTACAGTGACTCCTATTTCTCAGCATATCAAACTCAAATTTCTTAGCTGGGGGCTTCAAAATCCTTCACACTTAAAATCAATTATCATCTCCACTTTATTTATGAGAAAATTGAAGAACTTTGAGATAACGTGCATACGGTCATGCAGTTAATAAAGGAGTTATGATTTCAGCCTAGGCAACCTAGTTCTAAAGGTTATACTCTCAAAGCATTATACTACATTGCCCATGTTAAGAATTTGGTTACAAAATTTAATTGTCAGTTAAATTGACCTGAGATGTTTCAAAAGAAATCTTTATTATTATCATTTACAAATTCACAGAGATCAACCTTCTAAGCATATAATGAGAGTTGCCAGTACAAAGAATTAGGCATCCATGTCCATTCATTGACAAAAAAAACACTGTTCCACGATTTTGTAACTAACATGTGAATGTTACCTTGCAATCTCTCATACAGGTCTCTGGATATTTCCCCAAATACATTATTCTTTGAAACAGTTAACTTCCTTTGTATGTTCACCCTTAGCCTATACATAGTAGATACTTAATATATTTCACTTATTCTTGTTACACTAGGATGGTTGTTCAGATAAACTATAATGTCAAGATTCCAGCTTCTGAGAGTCAAAGATTTCTGAGTGTATAAGGCGGTGAAAAAGATTTTCGTCTATTCATATCCTAATCTGTCATTTCTCTATTTCTTTGTCTAAAAACAGTTGCGGTATTAAATTTCCGTATATGGTCCAGAAATATGCTGTGGTACAATCTCAGCAGAAGATTACCATCCCCCTACCCCACAAATCAAATAGCTAAGCATAATGGAAAAAGTAATCCTAGAAATAAAAGAAGTAGAAAGGCTACAATAAGCATGCTGTTATATAATCTCCAGCACTTGAAATGTTTAAATTGGAAACATTTAATACATTACTGTTTTCTCTATAGATAAAACCAACCGAGTAAATAAAGGAGGAGACCCTTCCTTTCCAGGGCACTGTGATTGTACCTTTCATGAGAGAAAACAGCTAGCCCATAGCCTTGTTAAATGCTTGGCAAAGTTCATGTATATTACATTTCATGCTTAGCATTATGTTCTGAGTATGTAATCAATCCTTAACTAAGATGAGGAATCAATACTTTCTTTTAATTCTGTCAGGTAATGCTATGCAGACAGAAAGGTCTTAATAACCAGGAATAGAACAGTATCTCTCCACCTTTCTCTTAAAGTTTTCCACCACTACATTGTCAGTTAAATTGACCTGAGATGTTTCAAAAGAAATCTTTATTATTATCATTTACAAATTCACAGAGATCAACCTTATAAGCATATAATGAGAGTTGCCAGTACAAAGAATTAGGCATCCATGTCCATTCATTGACAAAAAAACACTGTTCCACGATTTTGTAACTAACAACTATGTCACAAGTTCATAATATACCAATATACCTATTTTTAAAATAAGACAATGGATAATGTTGGAACCAGAAATAACTGGCTATTCCAGATGATGATACTTATTTTCTTCACCATTATTTTCTAAGTTTTCCAAATACAAACTTGGAAGAAAGTTAAAAGCCCAAGGTGAATCTGTCTAACTGGTGCCAGTGAAACACCATATGTTACAGGTGAAAGTGGGGCTCTTATAGTATCCAAAAAAAATTTCCTGAGACCCACACAGGAGGATGCAGCTCTGTGGTTCAGTTTATTGATGATGAACAATTAAGAGGGTTCCCCTTCTGATTTCCCAATGTTCCATCTCTTTCCATTTCACCAAGGACAAAGTCCAATCTTGTCTTCGGTAGGATGCGGATAAAGGCCACTGCCCAGAATTTCTGCTCCATACTAAAGTACTATCCGGTCCAGCATCCAGCTAGCTTAGTGTGTTTCCATTTCAGGCTCCCTCTTGGAGACTGCATATGGAGTTGCATGGCCATGAGTCATATGGCTGCTAGGATCACATGGCCATGGAGAAAGGACACGCAAATGCATGGGCTGAGTGTGGGTTACGGGGATGAGGAGAGAGAGAGAGAAGAGGAGAGAGAGAGAGAGAAAGAGAGAGAAGGAAAGAGAGCAAGAGATTCTTTGTTCCTCTGGGATTATATTAGCTTGGCTGTAGGGCTTTCTCAATATGACCAATCAGTTTCCCCAACTTTCTGTGTGCTCTGGGTGGGTCCACTTCCCAACCAATTGCTTCTTTCCCCAGGCTAGACTAACCAGCACCTTCCCCTGTGTCATTTGACTTCTCCTTACACAAGTGCTCTCGTCCCCTACTCCCACCTGGAAATCTGGTACAGGAGAGGGGAAGGGAAGAGTGCTAATCCCCTTGGTGGAACAGATACTACAATCCCCTGGGATGTGAAGGCTTATTATGCTTCTCAGTTTATAAAACTGGATGTCTAGATCCCTTTACTCCATTTTTCTAGCTAAATATCAGTGGTAACATAATTAAAAGATAGCTGGAGGAAGTTCTGGATAAATATTCTTGTGGCTGCAGATGGAGTTACTATGAGAAAGACCTCACTCTTCCTATCTCAAGATGAAAACTGAGGAACTCCACACTATCATAATAATAATATCTATCTCTTATTGGATATCAAGCACTTCTTTTCTATTATCCACTTTGACCCCCCGAAATACCTTACAAAGTACTATCATTCCTATTGTATAGACAAGGAAATTGAGGTTCAGAGAGATTAAGTAATTCAGTCATAGACCTAGGTCTGGATTCATACGCCTAGATTCTGGCAGATTTGGACCCTGGACTCGGGTCTGTCTGACTCCAGAGTCTATGCTTCTTTTAGTTTTACTATATGGAAGTAGTTCTCAACCTTTAGTGCCTCTCACAATCTGTGATCTTTTGCAGAATACAGTTGTGTGGGTTAAATCTCCACAGATCCTAAACTAGCTGATCTGAGCTGGCACCTATTATCTTTATTTTTAAAAGTTGTTCATAGTCTTTGTGTTGCCCACTCACTTTTGGTCACTAGTAAATGCGGCATCAAAAAAGGAGTAAACTAAACACTTTGCTGACCATTCCTTCCTTGAATTGGTATCTTTGGTTTAGCAGCTGCATAAGCAAGAGTTTAAAAAGAAAAAAAAGTAGTTTAGGTGCTTCTGATGTACCTCAAAGTGTAATAGGCAGTTAGGCATGAACAGAACAAGAACTATAGGTCAGGTACAGAAGGTCACAAGGGCGAAAAGCCCAAGGTGCCTAGCCACAGGCAAAACTGGGAAAGCAAGGGCCTTACGCCCAGGGTAACCTTTCTCCCCTAGCATATAGCTAGCTGGTCATGTGTTTTAGACCCCCTGACTTTTCATATCACTGGTTATGGGGTTTTGACCCTCCCCTGATCTTTCCTCCCAGGCATGTCACTAGTCATATGGCAGACCCTTTAGAGGAGGAATGAAGAGGCCAGAGAATAGCTTCATTTGACTCCCATACAAGTGCCTGCATGACTACTCTCTTAAACACTAAGTCCTCAGGACTATGAGGTCCTGACCGGCATCAAATACTCTTGGTATTCTCAAACAAAGCCTCAGGTCCATTTACCACAGAGACAGGGGTTTGGTCAAACTAGAGATAACATCTAGGCCTCAGTTGTATTTCAGCTCCAGGCTCAGAAAAGCAGCAAGGCCAGGTGGGGTGATGCCATGGCTGCCTCAGGACCAGCTGAGGTGACTAATGACTCCCTGCCCTGGCGCCAACCAATCAGTGGAGAACAGACACTGAAAGAAACCACCCGGAAAACTGATGAATATTCTATTGACGTCTTCCCTGAAACCTCCCATAGGGTCCCCACTTTTTGCAAGTGAATAAAGGCCCTCAAGACAAATGACTTGGAGAGGCTCCTCTCCAATGCTCTCTCCCTCTCATCTGCCCCCATGCCTCTCCCATCCATCCCTCTTCAGCACACCTGTGCCTTTCCCTATCCCCTTCTTTCCCAGCATGCACTCTCTCTGAAGCATGCCAGAACTTTTCCCCATCTCCTTCCCACATATCTTTGCTTTCTTTCGCCTACATTCCAAGAGCCCTCCTTTTGCCTCTGTAACTTGTTTTATGAGCCCATGCAGCCCAGCTGGCTCACGTCTTCTATAGCTCATTTCTCCTACCCCTGTGATGTTCTAAATAAACTTTGCTTGTATTTGAGTCTTGGCTCTCAATTCTTTCCTGGCCAGAACTCAAGTGTCAAGTTTGCTGAACTGAGGTCCAGTTGCTGGTAACATTCTGGTGCTGTTTTGCCACTAACAAAAATAGTTGTAGTTATTGCTAGACTGGAAAAAACAACCATCAAGAAAACCTAGAAGTAATTTCTTTGTTTTCAGCAAATTTCCTTTTCTAACTATATATTTTGTAGGCATCCATTAAATCATCCAATTTTCTATCACTATGCAAATAACAAGCCTGGAGTAGTATAAGTGATAAAGAGGCCCATTTACTATAGAAGGAACACCAAACAAAAATTGACCATTTTCCATGAATAATCTACAAATTGTGCAACATACTGACATAAGTAGATAGAAAAGAAATGTTGCTCTAATATCTCAATATAGCACATATTTTGGATTACAGAAAGAATAAAGCCTCACAAATTGACAAAATAATTTCAAAAAGCTCTGGGCTTAATCTTCATTATCTTATAATTTACAGAAATAAAAATTAAATACTTTAGATACAACTGTTATAGTAGAATGAGTGGCCAGAGCGAAAATAAAGGCCGGGCTTTCACCATTGCAGTCTAACAAAGAACTTACTATAGGAGGCTAGGAGCAAAAGCTCACCTGCTGACCCAGTAACCCTGAGCCTGGTCCAATAAGGCTGCCAGATGTTTTGGACAACCAGTGAAACAAATCACAATAATGTAGGAGTATTGAAAGTCTGTGTGTAACATCTCCACTAGCTGGGAAAAGGAAACCTTGAGGCTGTGTAATTCATCCCAAGGCCTGGAAGGGAGAAGGGAAGGAGCTTCACAGAAAAAAACCCATAAGAGGACTTTAGTTAACTGCCTGCCTCCTGTCACGTATACAAAAATGAACAAATAGAGTCTCGAGCAAGATAAGGATTTGGGCTAACAGACCCACACCCGTACCTACATTTAGGTAGTCAAGTCTCCTCCAGAAAACTGGCACCACCTTTACCTGCCAATTAAAATGTAACTTCCTCACTCCCACCCTGCCCTACCTATGTAAGTCCTGAGAACAAAGGCCTCTCGTCTCTTTCTGCCACAAGGGCGGGGCGGGGGGAGGGTTAGGGGGGGACCCTGTGCACTAGGCCTCTGGCCAAAGGGGAGGCCTTTGGCCTCTCTTTTAGCCACCCAGCCTTTGGCCACTTGGCCTCTGCCAACCCTACTTTTGCCACCCGTGCTCTAGCCACCCTTGTTTTGTTTTCCTATTAGAACTTAGCATTAATAAACTTTGCTTGCATGCTAGTAAGCTCACTGGCTTGTAATTCTTTACTATGTCCGTGAGCAGAACTGAGTTTCTGGGAGTTTCTCTTGTAATACAACTATCTTTAAAATGTTTTATTGCTATGATTAAGTACTCATGAATAAGATGGCCCTGGTTTTAGATCCTCATTTGACAGTCAAAACCAGCTTGACTCTCCTCCAGGAGACTTGGTTCTGCCACAAGGGACTATACATGTATCTTCTCTATGATTTGGGATGTTAACAGCCCTAGAACGTTCAACCTTTTACTATCAGGCTACTCAGGTGATTCTCATTCCAGCAGCTCTTCAGAACCTACTTCTTCATTCTCAACCAGTCAACCCTCTAGAAATCCATTCTGAGAGTCTGGATTACTCAATAGAGATCAGCTGCCACGTCTCTAGGAATGAAAATAATTTCCAGGATCTCAAGTAAATTTAAAAAAATACAAAAGGCAGATCACTTCATTGGGATTTACCATCTCTCTGAACCTACAGAGACATCCTTATTCAAAGAACATGTAAAAGAATTTTTCTGGACTAGATAACAATTTTGTTTACAGTATACTTGCTATGTAAAAATGCCCTATCAGTCACAAAATGAAGAAAGGCATAACTCTGTTGTAACCAGGGAAAATCAAAGACTATCAAATTTCCTGATATTTATCGACTTTAAGAAAACTGCCATTTTCAAATAAAATTTATTCTCATATCAAACACTCTGATTAAGGGCAAAATACAGGTCGGGGCTCACCTATGCCTGTGCCAACCAGGAAACCCCAGGGCCAGCAAACCCAGTGGACAACTACAGACCACTTCAAAGTACCACCACCCTGCCCCTGCACAGCAGATCTGCCACGGATGGCAGAGGCTGGTGGTAAGGGGTCACATCCAATCCTTGAAGCTCACTGGCTTGAGTAAATTCAACCCACTGATCTGCCAACAGCAACCAAGGCTCACAAGAGGAAGGAGTATTTCAGCTCACACAAAGGGCACACCTCAAATGCCCAGCTTGGGTGATAGAGGGAGCTGTGCCACTGGGCCCTACACATCACATATTAGGCCATATTACAACACACGGAGTCAAAGCAGCTCTACCTAATACATAGAAACAAACACAGGGAGGCTGCCAAAATGAGGGGACAAAGAAACATGGCCCAAATGAAAGAACAGATGAAAACTCCAGAAAAAGAGCTAAACAAAATGGAGATAAGCAATCTATCAGATACAGAGTTTGAAACACTGGTTATAAGGATGCTCAAGGAACTTAGTGAGGCCTTCCAAAACAAAAAGGACCCAGTCAGAAACGAAGGACTCACTAATTGAAATACAGAACAACTTACAGAGAAGCAGCAGAGTGGATGAAGCTAAGAATCAAATCAATATCTGGAACATAAGGAAGCAGAACACCACCAATCAGAACAAGAAAAAAAAAAAAAAGAGAATACAAAAATGAGGACAGTATAAGCAGCATCCAGGACAACTTCAAGAGGACCAACATTTGCATCATAGGGGTGCCAGAAGGAGAAGAGAAAAAACAGTAAATTGGAAACCTATTTGAAAAAAATAATGAAAGAAAACTTCCTTAATTTGGTGAAGGAAATAGACATTCAAGCCCAGGAAGCACAGAGGGTCCCAATCAGGTTGGACCCAAAGTGCATCACACCGAGATACATCATAATTAAAATGCCAAGGTTTAAAGATAAAGGGAGACTCTTATAAGCAGCAAGAGAAAAGTAGAGAGTTACCTACAAAGAAGTTCCCCTGAGACTGTTAGTTGATTTCTCCAAAGAATCTTTGCAGACAAGAAGGGGCTGGCAAGAAGTATTCAAAGCAACAAAAAGCAAGGACCTACAATCAAGATTATTACTCTATCTAGCAAAGCTATCATTTAGAATGGAAGGGCAGATAAAGTGCTTCCAGGAGAAGGTAAAGCTAATGGAATTCATCATTATCAAGCCATTTATTACATGAAATGTTAAAGGGACTTACGAAAAATAAGACCAAAACTATGACCATTAAAATGACAACAAACTCACAACTATCAATGACTGAATCTAAAAAATAAAAACAAAATAAGCAAACAACCAGAACAGGAACAGAATCATAGGTATGGGATCATCTGGAGTGTTACAAAATGGGAAGGGGAAGGGAGAAAAAGGGGAAAATGGTGCAGAAATCAAGAAGCATAATTGGTAAGAACAAAACAGACAGTAAGATGTTAAGAATAGTATACGTAAGGGAGAAGCCAAAGAACTTACATTGTTCCTGTTACACGGGTGACCCATGGACATGAATTAAGTGGAGCAAGAATTGGTAGAAGGAAGGGAGGTTGTGAGTAGAAGGGAAAAAAATAGGACAACTGTAACAGCATAATCAATAAAGTATTCTGAAAATAATCCAGTGATCTTGTTAAAAAATTGGACAACATGATTAAATGGGATTTATACAACAATGCAAGGATGGTTCTGTATCTGTAAATCAATCACTTTAATGCACCACATTAAAAAAAAAAACAAGGAAAAACACATATATCATCTCAATAAACGCACAAAAGCCTTTGACAAAATTCAACACTGATTTAGGATACACACTATAGAAAAATGTAGATTAAAAAAAGCATATTAATAATAAACGCTGTACATAACACAGCGATAACAAA